TCGCGCGCCCCCGCGGACACCTGGGCCCCGGGACGATGCGCAGTGAGCGGAACCGCAAGGAGAGACCCTGAAGCCATCGGGTCCCTCCTGGAAGCAGCATGGCGCTCTGGAGGACAGGGACAGGTGGGCCGAAAGCAACCCTGCCACCCCCTGCAGGTGCCCAGACAGGGGGTGGGGGCGCCCTGCTTTCGAGAGTGTTTTGCGTGTTGTGGTTGGACCTGCCCACGTGGTTCTTCAGCGAAGGCCATCGGGACGCTGAAGGGAATGACTCACAGGTCCTGGAAGCCGCACCGCACACCTGGAGCCACACAGCAAGGTCTCAGGTAGAGAGAGGCAGCCCCGGGGCCCTGTTTATTGGGGTCGAGAGTGGGTCCTAGGGTTTCATGGACTCACTCTGTTGGTGAATTCAACCTACAAGAGCGGGGATGTAAAGCTCTGGAAGAGAAAAAGCAAGGGGCCCCAGGGATGAGTTGTTGAAATCAACCAAGATCTCTCAGCACAGGAGCCTCCGTGGGGGATGCAGCGGTTCTCTGGTCCTGTGGCTGGCCCTGGGGTGTTGGAGACGGCTGCTCTCTTGGACGTGCCTGCCTTGGCAATCAGCGCTTAAAGTGGGCACTTGCATTACAAAAGGCAGAAAAAAAAAATCAGGAAGGGAGCTTCTCACTTGCAAGCCTCCTTTCCCTGGCTTTCTGCGGGGAACGGGGGAACGGAGGCAGAGACCTTTCACCTCTGACCTTGCTGAATTTAGTCTATGCGCCTGAAGGGATGTTTTAGCCCCTCCCCACCCCCCTACCGCCGTTTTTTTAAAATGAGACTGGATGCCAGTGGCATCCAGCTCCTTGGCTTTGACCTTTCACCTCCCTGGCCCTCAAGCATAGTTTGTACATATTTAAGTAATACTATTGTAAATGAAAAAGGGGCTGTGGCATAACCTGACAAGTTCAGGGGGCCACAGGCAGGCCTGATAAGCTCAGCGGCCACACAGGACGGTCTGATCCTAAATCCCTAACTGGGCAGGCCATGGAGGTAGTCCCCTCCCAGGACTACAGCTCCTAGCAAAGGTCAGCCTTTACCTCACGTGAGTCCTGTCCACTGTTCTTACGCATCGAGGGTAACAGACCTTGGAAATGGCACAGTAATCACCTTTCTAGACCCTCGAGGACACAACACAGGCACCAGAGCGCAAGATCCCCAGAACCCCTCATGGTTACCTGGTCCCCCGATACCATCTCTATGTGCTGTGTTAATGACTGGTTGTCCTGTTCTGCCAATGTAAACCATGTTTCTCTATTTTGCTTTTTATCTAGTCCTAGAGATTTGCCCGCTTTGCTTTCTCCCACCTCCCTAAATCTGTCACCAATGATTTGATGTATCCTCCTTGTTTTTTTTTTCTCCCTTAATTCTAAATGCATCCAAGGAACTGCAAAACTGCCTTTTTCCAGAGCATTTTCTCAGTCTTTGAGATTTTGTTTCCAGGCAAAATTTGGCTCAAACTCTTTCTTAAAATTTTTTATAGGAATTCATTTTTTTTCTAATTTTTTTTATGTTTCATTTTTTTTATTTTTTTATTTCAGAGAGGAAGGGAGAGGAAAAGAGAGATGAAACATCAATGAGAATCATTGATTGGCTGCCACCTGCAGGCCCCACTCTGGGGATCAAGCCTGTAACCTGGGCATGTGCCCCAATTGGGAATCGAACCGTGGCCTCCTGGTTCATAGGCTGACGCTCAACCACTGCCACAATGGCCGGGCCATTTATTTATTTATTTACTTGTTTATTTATTTATTTTTTAATCCTCACCCGAGGATATTTTCCATTGATTTTTAGAGAGAGTGGAAGGGATGGGGAGAGACAGAGAGAAACATCGATATGAGAGAAACACATCGACTGGTTGCCTCCCGAATGCAACAGGACAGGGAATCGAGCCTGCAACCGAGGTACATGCCCTTGACCGGAATCAAACCCGGGACCCTTCAGTCCATGGGCAGATGCTCTATCCACTGAGCCAAATAGGCTAGGGCAACTCTTTTTTTTTAATGTGTTTATTGGGATGGTTTTTAAGAAGTTTATTGATTTTTAGAGAGGGAGGAAGGGGGAGAGAGAGAAACATTGATGGCACAATATTGACCAGCTGCCTGCCTCCTGCACACCCTCTACCAGGGATGGAGCCTGCAACTTGGGCATGTGCCCTGACAAGGAATCAAACCAGCAACATCCTAGTGCACAGCAACCTCCTGGGAGAACGCCCAACCGACTGAGCCATACTGGCCAGGGCTCAAATAAGCTTTTATAATACTTTTCTGTATGTTGGGAGTTCTCTTGTTGGTATCATAATAAAATGAGTTATTCCAAAAGTGTCTTTATGGCATTTTTCCTGGAGAGTCAATGTTTACAAAAATGACATTTCCTTGTTCTGGGGCTCATAGGTCTGTTTGGTCACAGTGTCTAGGAGAGATGTTTCCTCATCCATGGCTGCTGTCCACACTCTGCATCCTCAACCAGGAAAAACGCAGGCTCCTAATAGGAGCATGAAGCCACCAGGTCCTCCAGGAAAGGTGGTCCCAGAGCCAAGGCAACAGGAAAGGTAACCACTGGAAGCCCCTGAGCTTTGGTCTGACAGTTGGGAGCACTGAGGCCTGAGAGGGTGGGATTTCACTCCAGGTCTCCTGAATGCTTTAGGCAGTGTTCGCATAGACTTTCAGTTTTAACAGCCTCCACTGCTCCGAGGTAGGATAGCAATGCCGGCTGTAAGCCATTCCTGATGGTGTTTATAACCTAGTAATTTGTATAAGCAAGTTCCAGTTCTTGATGATGTGGAATAAAAGATTCCTCCCCTCTCAAAAGCAGTTCAAACTTCCCTGGTGCCTCTTACCTAAAGAAGGTAAGCGAAATCCAGAAGGCCTTTTGGCCACTGGATTAGAAATGAGAACAGGCCAGGTGTACTGGAGAACAGGTTAGACTGTGATCTGGAACCTCCCTTCCTCTGGGACCACGATCCCCATCTTACCCTAGAACATGCACCAAGGGTCACACACAGGACCCTGAGGCCCTAGAGACCTTAGCGTGAGCAGGTAAGACCTGGATGGGAATCGGAGGTTCATGCTCATGTGTGTGACTGTGGACAAGTTCCTTACCTTTGCCCCGTCTCAGTTTTCTCGCGTGTAAAGTGGGGGTGCCAGTCGCCCTCTCTGCAGGGGTTGTGATGCTCCAGAAAACAGAACTTGCTGTCTCCCTCTCCTTGCCTGCCCCCTCTCCAGCAGGTTCATAGTGCAACTACTTCAGCAAACAGCCCTTTTCTCTTTAAAAGAGAAAGCGATGGCACACTCAGGGGTTTCTAGGTGCTGGGCTCGGGCAGCCTCACGCTGTGGGTGAAGCCAGTGGTGTGCTGGTGGATGTGTGGCAACCGGCTCTTGGAGGAAAAAGAAAGCCCAGTCTGTCGGGATTTGCACCACCAAGGATACCCTGCCAGGGCTGGTTTCCAAGCTCCCACTGAATGCAGAGTGGAAAAGAGGTGTGCGCAACCCACTCCCATGAGCCAGGGCGGCAGGTCCTCGAATGATGTTTCGTTCAACATCTTTTCCTTACAGCGTTGATGAGACACAGTAGGAACTTAACTATTGCTTATATCAGTCTGTGGTAAAATTGGTCTCGATATACGTCGTTTCCCTTAAAGTCAAAGAACCTATCATGACATTACGGGAGGACTTAGCTGTACACACCACTGGCACAGGAATCAAGTCACTGAGGCAGGTGGCCACCCCTGGCCAATCAGCTGTAGCTGGGATAGGGTCATGTGACCAAATATGGCCAGAGCCCATCCTTTCACTGCATAGCAGGCTGTGGGAGGTCAATTTCAGAGAAAAAGATGAATCCATTTCCCCTTCTGATGATAACACACTCTGGCTTCCTCCCGGGGAGGTGCTGCAGGTGCAGGTTCACCCTCTGCTGGGGCTTAGAGCGTGGGCTCTTGGCCTGAGCCCACCAAGTATAAACATTCCGGTCATGTGACTGGTTCAGGGACCGCACTTCACCCAGTTCAAACCAGGGAGAGACAGGCTTGACTGCTGGGAACCTGAGGGCTGTGAGTTTGGAGCTGTGGACTCCACAGGAGTCCAAGGGTGAAGCTGACTGGGAACAAAGCCAAGTGGAGAGACACTTCACTGAGCCCTGAAGCTGAGCTGACCCTGCCGATGTCCATGTTGTTATGTAAGCCAATAAATCCTCATTTGCATCGGGCGTTCTACACCCTGCAGCCATGTCTCACATTCACAAGGCCATGAAGGCTCAGAGGAGTGAGCTCCATGGTGACTCATGTCCAAGTCACTTCTGTCTCCCCCATAATGCCTAGCACAGGGCCTACCTTGATAAACTTTGGAGGAATTAATTCCTGCATTTCCCTCCTGGGCAATCTGAACACTGACCTCCATGGGGCAAACTTATGTGAAGGGGACTTCTTTTTTTTTTTTTAATATATTTTTTTTACAGAGAGGAAGGGAGAGGAATAGAGAGTTAGAAACATCGATGAGAGAGAAACATCGGTCAGCTGCCTTCTGCACACTCCCTACTGGGTATGTGCCCGCAACCAAGGTACATGCCCTTGACCGGAATCGAACTTGAGACCTTTCAGTCCGCAGGCCGACGCTCTATCCACTGAGCTAAATGGGTCAGGGCTGAAGGGCACTTCTTGATCCCCTCAGTCACTGGAATAGCTCCCACAAATCTGGGCACTCATGACGGTCCCCCAAAGAGGGTTGGGAGAAGCTGCAGTGAACTTCACCGGTGGACTCCATGCGTCTGAAAAGGCTTCAGAACTAGACAAATGGGCTGAATTTAGGTCCCTCTATTGCAGCATGATCCTCGGCCAAATACCTCTCTTGGCTTGCTGCCCACTTCATAGGGGGTTGTGAGGTAATCAACACCATCTCCCTCCAAGTCTGGGGGGGCGGGGGAGGGGAGAGGAGCAGTGGAAAGGTGCCCCCCAGCCCCGCCCTCGCACAGAGCACGCCACACACCACCGCCACCCGGGTGCAGGTATGTTTATTCTTCACAACAGAGAAATACAAAGAGCAGAGGGTTTAGAATTCCTTTGTGTCTTGCCCCCTTTAGTGTTTTTCCCCACATTGGATTTTTTTTTACTCCCCACCCCTTCTCTTAAATGTAATGCAAACCTCCTTCCTGACGCGTTTAGGGGCGCCTGCCCTCACCTCCCTGCCACCAAGATGCAGACTGAGAGGCCAACAGACTGTTTTCTCTTTTTTAATAAGGTAACTAGTTCTAAATAAGGTGGCCTGGAGGTCCCATAGAAAAAGCAGAGGGTGTTAACAGTATGTAGAACAGCGTATTTACAGGGTAGTAACATGCGGACAAAAGCTACAATACTGAGTATCAGAAGACGCAAGTCAAACAAAGGGGTGGGGGCGGGCGGGGGCAGAGAACCCTGTGGGAAAAGAAACCCCAGGAGACGTTAAACTGGTAAATCAATGGTGAGTTAAGGCTTAAAAAGTGTATAAAAATAACACAGTTAATATTCAAAACGGAACTCCAGATACAGAATATATAGATGAGTTTCTGTCTAGTTTTTTTTTTTTTTCCCGGGGGATGGAGTGGGGCTTCTCCGGTCTCTGTACATGGTTCCTATATACACGGACACGCATGGCTTTCAGATCGGGGTGTGTCTGTGGGGGCTGAGGGCAGAGGCAGCTCCTGGGGCCCTCCTTTCGGAGGACCCCTTCCCTACCGAGGGGCTGAGGGCCTGGGCTGGGGTTTCCCCCTCCATGGCAGGGAAGACAAGTAACCCTCCCTGGGTAACGTCCCATCTGGAGGAAATGATGGAGGGGGTCCTAGCCCCAGACCCACTCCCTCCCCATCCCCCTGCCCACAGTCTGGGATGGTGGGAGAGGTAGCCAATAGGTTTCCTGGCCAGCACCGAGGTAGACTGGGGTGGTCTTAAGGGCATTGGGGGTCCAGGTCTTACCCAGCCCACCCCGCCCCATTTCCCTGGGCTGGCACCCAGCCCGGCCCAGCACTGTAGCCTTTGGTCCTTCCGATCCCCCGGCCCCGCTTGTTTTGCCTCCTGAAGTCTGGGCAGCTCTGGTGGCTGCCGCCTCCCTCTGGTCAGTGATGCTCAGGGTGCAGCTCGAGGTCCACGCTGGGCACCCAGGGTGAGGGGCTCACTCCAGCTGCCTCCTACTCCTCCCACCAGCCCCCCCCCCCCCTTTGCAGTCCAGAAACCCAGGCCTGAGCCTTCCCTCAAGACCTAAGGCCATGGCAAGAGGCGGTCCCACGCTGCCCTCTGGTTCTCTGTGTCCATCTGTCCAACTCTTAATTTCTCGGTCTTAGCAGCACCAACTTCTTGGCCAATAAATATCTTTTTTGTTATTTCCAAAACAAACTTAAAAAAAACAACAACAGTGAAGCAAGTGAAGGGTGGAGGGAAAAAGAAAACCCAACAGAGAGAGGTTCAAAGTGCTCTGAGATCGTCTTTGGATGCCACCAAAAGTCCAGTATCTTGCGGTTGGCCTGGCCACCCCGGAGCTGGGCCGGGCAGGGCTTCTGTGCCCAGGCTTTCTGGAAGGTCAGGAAGGTCATTGAGAGCTCGGCTGTTCCTGGAGGGCCCTGGAGGGAGTCGGGCCTGGTGCTGCCCGGGTCTGTGTCTGCCCGTGGGCAGGGCGGCGCCTGGGATCGGCTCAGATGAGGGAAATTCGCACCGGGATGCCGGGGGACTCCGTCCTCTGGGGCGAGTGATGGCTCACCAGGTGCTCCACCACCGTGTGTTTGGACATGTGCTTCATCAGGTAGGTCTCCTGTGGGCAGGGATGAGAGTCAGAGCATAAAACCAACAGCTGGCAGGGAAGGCAGAAGAGGCTGCAGTTCCCACAAGGGGCCACTGGAGGGCTCCTTGGCATTGGGCCAGCCAGCGAGCAGCCGCAGCTCTGGGGAGCAGATCAGCATCCCGCCTAGGTTCTAGGCGTGCTGCATCCACAGGCCTGGGGGCTGGCTCGCTGACCAGAGCCTGACCCCCTCGTGTTGGCTGGAGAGCTCATCCCTCAGCAGTGCCCACCTGGCACTGCCTAGGGCCAGGCCAGCTGCCATTTACCAGCGAGCTGCAGCGAAGTGTGCTGGCTGGTGCTCGCAGTGAAGGTGGAGCGCAGGCCTGGGTTTCAGCCTCGTTCTGGATAAGTCACCACACCCCTCCAAGCCTCAGTTTCCTCCTCTGCAAGCAGGGATGGGGCAGGAACAATCTCAAAGGGTTGCTAGGGTGATGTGGATAACGATCTTAGCATGCAGTAAGTGTTGAGGGAACCATGCCTTCCCTGGCTTTGCACTTCATTCCAGGTGGTGGTGGGAGCCCCGGTCTCTGCACCCCCACACTGGATCCTCCCTTGAGGAGAAGTGGGGCCTGATTTGATTGGCGAGTTTGGAAGCATAAACTGGGCATGCTCAGCTCGTTCCTTGAGTGCCCCCCACAGGCTCTGCTGAATCTGACTTGAGGCACCCAAGAGTGGGTGGGCAAGGTGACCAAAGGCCCACCTGCAGGCCCACAGGCCTCACACCAGGCTGCAGGGTGGCACTCTGGTTCCCACCTGCCACTCCTTGGCCTCATACCTCAATCTGCTCAGAATCCGGCAGAGAAAACCCTCAAATGTGGTAGCCACATGCTATCACACATCAGAGGGAAGCAATCAGCAAAATCTAAACTAGGAAATGACTCTTCAATGAATAAATTGCAAAGAAAAAAAAAGGCAGGAGTCAGGGGAGCCAACAGATTAAAAGATAGACTGACCCAGTGCAATGTAGAAATCTTATTTGGATACTGATGAATAAAATTCTAAGTAAATAAAATGATGACATTCATGGGACAAACGAAAATGTGAATGCTTACTTGGTATTTGATGTTAAGAACTTCGAGTGAATTATTTTGTGGTATTAAGAAGTATTGTAGGTATGTTTAAAGAGTCCTTATGTTTAGAGACACTAAGTGAACCTTTAGTTGAAACAGGATTGGCTGAGGGTTCTGGGGGCTGATGGGAACATGAGGACTCACTATTCTACAATGTTTCTTTTATGTATTACAGTAGTTTAAAAATCAGTCTATTAATTTTTCTTGTTCAGTCAGGCCCAGTTCAGGGTGGGGCCTGAGGCCAGGTGAGAGCGGATCCCCTCCTTCCCCACCAGAGTTCAGACAGATCCCCTCTAAGAACCCCAGCTGTGGATGCTGGAGGCACCTCCTCTAAGAGTGGGGGTGTAGAGGAGGGTCAAGAACTTGGGACTGGGACTGACTGAAGGTCAGAGGACGGGGGCTCCTAGGTCTCCGGGGCTCCCCACATATGCCCTTAGGGCCCTGGGCCCTGCAGGGTCTGTCCTCCCAGTTGCTCCTCTGCCCTCTGACTCCAGGGAAGGGAAGCGCCAGGTGCTCGGCACTCAGCATGCTGCAGCCGCTGGCATCTGCCACAAACTGCTGACCACCCGCCTATCATCCCTGCGTCCCCTCCAGCCAGTGTGACCTTTCAGACTCTCCTAGCTGGCCCCTCCCGATGGCTTCCCATTCCCCCTGGAAAAACATCCAGACTCCCGCACAGGCCACTCAGCCCCATGCGACCCATTTTCTTCCAGTTCCTGGAACACACCTCGCTTGTTCTGCCTCAGGGGGCTTGCATCTTCTGTTCCCTGCAGGGAATGTTCTTCCCCCGCCTCCTGCTCACCTGGCTCATTCTCCTCCAAGGCTTCAGCTAAATGTTCCTTCCTCAGACAGCCTCCCCAGACCTGTCTCTCCTTCCCCGCTCCATTTTGTCCTCCCTGCTGCTGTCTTTCAAAACATACTTTCCTTCTTAGCAATGTTTCTCAATCAGAAGCGACTTTGCCCCCCACGCCCGGGACATTTGTCAAAGTCTGGAGGCATCTTGGGTTGTCACAACTGGGGAGGGGGTTGCCAGTGGGCAGAGGCCAAGAATGTTGCTAAGCACCCCACAATGCACAGGACAGCCCCGCCCCAGCAGAAAGGTTCCTGCCCAAACGCCAACATGGGCCGAGGCTGAGAAACCCTGCTTGGAGCGATCACCACAACTTGTCAGTACATACTTATCTGTGTGGTCACTTATCTAATGTCTCCAGCAGCAGACTCGAACCTCCCTGGCAGCCCAGACGACATCTGTCTGGTTCATCCTGGTTCCCGAGCGCTGGCACAGGCGCTCAGTAAACACTGAGTAAGTGTGTTAGCTGAGGTGGCTGAGGGCCAGTGGCCAGCCTGTGAGTTAAGAACTCTCCCTCCTCCGTTGACAGCTGAGGAAACGGAGGCTCCAAGCTGTCTGTCTGGTACACACGGGGGTCTGTTACCCAGAATATTTGATCAGCCAGAAGCACACACACACATGACTCACCTGGACTCCCTCTTCTGAGGTCTGAAAGGCCCTTGTTTAGGGAAATTCAAACCCAGGGCAGAGGGCTGGATGCAATGACCCTCCTGGCACTGTCCAGATCTTCCCTGACACCTGAGGTGGCTCTGGGCCTAGGCAAAGTCGCTCTGCCACCTTGTGGTCATGATGGGGATTGCAGCTTCCCCAGAGGAAGAAGGCCTTTCTCCCTCCGACTCCAGAAAGCAGGGTACCAAGTCCCCCTACCACAGCCTGGAGTATTCTGGGGCCTGGCGGGAACCACGCCTCTGAACCCTAAAGGCCGCCAGGGAGCTGGGAGCTTGGCCTGGGGCTGCCTGAAAGAGAACTGGGAAACAAGCCCTGGTTCCACCACTCACTGTGATCTTAAGGAGGCACTAGGAGCCCCGCCTGGGCCTGTTTTCTTGTCTAGAAAATGGCAACTGTCAGAACTGATCTGAGGAGGAGGAAGCAGAGGCCGGGGAGAGGAAGAGGCCCCGGGGACCCCAGGCACTCACGGAGGTGTAGGCCCGCCCGCACATGCTGCAGCAGTAGGCCTTGGCGTGCTTGATGGCGTGCGCGGACAGGTGGATCTGCAGGGAGGCGGAGTCCGAGTAGGCCCGGTAGCAGTTGGGACACTTGTAGGGCTTGTCCTTGTTGTGCTGGCGCTGGTGAGACTGTGGGGAGCACAGGAGGGAGTCAGGGGCCAGCAGGCCTCGCCCAGCCCCACCCCCTGCTTATGCTCCCTTTACAGGTAACTGCACCTGTTGGGCAGGAGGCAGGTGGCACTCACCTGGAGATTGGAGAGCTGAGTGAAAGCCTTTTCGCAGCCAGGATGCGGGCACTTGTAGGGTCTGTCGCCTGTGTGGATTCTGCAAGGGGCAGCCCATGAGGTGGAGTCCGGCAGATACCCCTAGGCCAGCTGCGGCCCCTAAGCCTTCACTGGCCCGTGCAGACCTCTGGCTCCCAAGCCTCCCAGGCTCCACTACACAAACTCTCCCCAGAGCGAGCCCCAGGCAAGAGCTGGGGTCTTCAAAGGCCACCCCCTTTTTCTCTGACCAACCACTGCCAGTCTATGATTAATGCCTTCCTGCTCCCCAAGTCCCTGCTGAGCCCAACCCTCCAGGGGCACCCACCCGGAGACCTGCCCCGACCTCCAGCTAATCATGGAGGGCTTGCTGGGACTGCATTGGCCCCTGTCTTCTAAAAAGCCCACCTGCAGGCCACCCCTGAAAAGAGCACAGGCTCACAGCTGCTTTCCCTCAGAAAAAGGAGACGCCTCCCTTTGATTGGCCCCAATATCTGTTTCCGACCCCTCCCCATGTCAGGCACGTGTCCATGATGGCTACACGGTCACTCCAACTACTGAGAGAATGCAGGACAGGGTGGCCCTAAAGCTCAGCCCCTCTGTATCCTTCCTGTGAGTCCCTTCTGTTCCCCTTATTCCGGGTTCTCATCCTGGCTCCACCCCTTACTAGCTGGGTGACCTTGGGCAAATCACTGAGCCTCGGTTTTCTCATCTGCAAGATGGGTGCAAAATACAGTCCCTCCCTCACTGGGCCTTATGAAAGTAGATAATACATGAAAAGGGCTGAGCCTCAAGTACTGGCACACAGTGAGCACTCAGTGAACACCAGTATTATTATTCATTCATTGAACAGTTACTACATCAGGTACCTACCTCTGTGAACAAAACAGACAAAAACCACCGCCTTGTGCAAACAGGCAGCAACACACAAGTCACATGTGGGAGGCAATGCGTGCTGTGAGAACAAGGTGAGGTGATCACGAGTGCAGGGAGGGGTGCAGGTTTAATTGGGGGACCAGGGTGGGCCTCATTGAGAGGCAACTTGGAGGCTGATGGCGTATTTTCAGTTGAAGTCTGTGGGCAGCACGTGCCCGCCCTACAGCCAGCGGGGGACGCAGGTGGACCGAGGGGAGGTATGTGGAGGGGGCCCTGCCCGCTCTCCCCACTCAAGCCTCCTCCTGCCACCTGGACTTGCCTTTCATCACCTGTCCTGGCAAAACCTCTGAGCCAAGCAGGTGGGGAGTGAAACGCTGGCTGGGTCTGAACCTCATTTGCCTACTTTACAGAAGAGCATTAGGTGCAGGGAGGACGCAGCTCCGGCCTCCTGGTGGCTCCTTCCCTAAGCCCAGGCCACCTCGCCAACTGGGTTTGCTCTGCCCGTCACCACTAATCAAGCGAACTGAGGCCCTGGGCCAGGCCCCGTGCTGGCTGGGCTTGAATCAGGGGCGCTCCCTGCCATCAACAAGCCCATGACACGGAGACCGCCCATTGTCAACACCGATGAGTCCAAATTCCTTCGTCGCTCAAGGCCCTCTGCCGTGGGGTCCAGCCTCAGCTCCCTGCTCCCAAGCGCCCCACGTCCTGGTCAGAGAACTATGCCTCATTGATGCTTCTGCCGCCAGCCCTGCGCCCGCTGCCTCCTCAGCACGGGAGGCTGCCCTCGGACTGGGATCCGAAGGGCAGGGACAGCCCGGTCTCGGGTGCGAGGCCAAGTGGAGCCGGGCTGGCGGGCCCTGAGGACCCCTACTCTGGGTGCCACATTTTGGGGACATCATCCCAGGCTCCTGCACTGTCTCTACAATGGAAGGACCTTAAGAGTCATCTGGACCGACCGCCTGATGCCAGAATCTGCTCCATTCCCTCCCACCTGCGCTCCCCCCAGGGCTGTGGGATTCATTCAGCAAGAGATCCAGTGACAGAGGGGACTAAAGGGCCCCAGGATTCGCACGGATTTTGACTGAAACCCCACAATACTCACCCCAGAGTCCCCACCTCCCACCACTGCTCAGTCAGGCCTCTCCTCTCCTGCGGCTGAGCCCCACAGGCCCCGCTAGCATTCCAAGTTGCCTCCTACCCCCAGTCCTTTATCCAGGCTGTTCCCTCCTCCAGGAACAGTTCCCTCAGCTAATACCCAGCTAAACCCCCCACTCCTGTTCTCAGTATAAAGGCCCCTTGTTTGAGGCAGCCTTCCCTGACCCCCCGGACTAGGCCTGGCCCCCACAGCCCACCCCTCAAGCAGAAGTCAGGCTGTCACTTTCTAGGCGCTGATTTCTTGGCTGCCTCCTCGGTTGCCTTCACCACCATCACCCCAGGGCCCGGCAGAGAGGACTCAACACACAGTCATCGACTGAACGAAGGAAAGTGAGTTCTTTCTCTGAAGTCAGTGACAACAGTAATATGCTTGATGTAATCAACATCCACTCATTCCTCAGGGGTATGTCACACGTGTTTGTTGACTGACTCATCGATGGTCCTCTGGGGACTTTAGGTCTTTCCTTAGTGACCCAGCCAAGACCTCTTGACCAGGAAACTCCCCCTCTAGCCTTCTCCCCAAAGGCCCCAGCTGCCTGGCCTCCCAGCCTCTGCCTCTCCCCTTCTGACAGTCACATAGCAGCGGCGGCACATGCCTCTGACCTTGTCGCATCCCTGCTTGGCATCCTCCACTGTCTCTCCTCTTCCCAGGACGGAGTCCAAACCCCCTGCCCCAGATTCAAGGCCTCAGTTCCTGAAGCCTCCCCCTCTGCCACTGCTCTCCCCAGAGGGGCATCTTACCAGCCTCCCCCCAGCACATGTGCAGACATCCCCGCCCAGCAAGCCTCTGAGCCTTTGCTCACGCTATTCCCCCTGCCAGGAACACCCTTCCCCTCTCTCACTAGGGAGGGCTATGGGCCCTTTAACACCTGACCCAGATGATCCCCCCCAACCTCCACCACATACTTCCCTCTTAGGAAGTTTCCACACCCACCAGCCTCCCGGGTTTCGGAGGGAGTTCCTTTGGGCCAGAGCCTGCCTCCGACCACGGATCAGTCCCTGTGTGTGGCCCTCCCTCTTCCGGGAGCCACTTTGGAAGAAAGAAGGACCAGCCTGCCCCTTCTCACGGATACTGGCCCCAAAGCTCTTCAGTCCCGGAGTTTCAAGTCAGGACCAGACCTTCAACTGCAGCGTCAGATCCCTCCCTTGTGGGGCACCTTCCCCCTAGGGGAGCACCCGCCACCGGCTCCCTCGCCTGTGGAGACGGAGAGCTCACCACCGACCCCAGGCGTGTGGATCACAGGGAAGCTGAGCCGAAGCGGGTGCCCCTCACCCGCCCTTCCACCCCAGCCCCAGCCCCGGGCCCCAGATCTCCCTTCTCCCTCCTCAGACAAGTGACTGCCTCCCTCAGCCCATTTCCTCGTCCCCACAGCAGGGGTGACAGTCCGCATCGTGAAGACTGGAGGGAGCAAATGGCTTCCTTAAAGGTGTTCACAGGACATTTGTGTAGTGTTAGTTTTTAATACATTCATTTCTATTTAAGATAAACAGTTTATGAAACATAACACATGGGGAATTTATCCCATGTTTAAATAAGCTTAAGGATTCATTAGCTATTTCTCTCCCAGGTGATGAAGCCCCGTCATAAGGAATGGCTTCAGTCATGTGCTTTGTAACTGAACAATGGCAGCCTTCGTTCATTGCTTGGAAGTTAGTTAACCTTCCCTCCCTGTGGCATTTTTCAGATTTTCATGTCTTACGACGAAACCCCAGTTCGCATTGTCTGAGGGCTTGATGGACACCTTGTGTGTAAACAGCGACACAGAGCCGGGCCCACGGGAGTGTTCTGACCAGGAGCACAGGTGGGCACACGCAGGTTACGGGGCCTGTGGATTTCCTGTTGCTTGTTGTGTTGCAGTCTCCAGTCGTATTTTTAAACAAATGTCTACCTCTGAAAACACTCAGATTCTTAATAACTATCAGTGCTTGCTTCTGTGTGTATTTTCGTATGGAAATAACACAGTAATTAATACATGATAATACAAGAACCAACTCTGCTTCGTGTTCTCACAACTGTAAACCTACCCGTGCCCACCCTGTAGCGGTGATGATTTTATTACCGTTACTCTCAGCAGAATGGAGAACGAATGGCGCCCGCCCCTGTCCCAGTCATCATTACACACGGACAACATGTCACACAGCCAGGAGGAGAAGAGGCAAAACACTCTGCAGTCCGAATAAACAACCACACGAACCTAGAGTCACTCTGTCTAGCATGTGTTCCCCCCAAAATAACACTCGGAGCCCTCTCTGTACCTAACCCCGCAACGAAGCATTTTCTCCCTGACTTTTGCATCGCGTATCTGCAGACGTGTAGATAGGCTGACTGCACGAGATCACTGCTGTTTTCCTACCACGAGCAGACTCGCTACAAAATCCTGCTTATTTTCTCTTAAAATGCATGTGGTATTACTGCTTCCTGAGCTGAGCCTCCGGACGCCTGGACTTCGGCAACACTTTCAAGTCACCTGCTTTCCTTTCCCTTGTGCTTGTCTGACAGCTGGAGGCCCCGCCACGATGCTGCAGTGTCACCGGCGCCACTGTGTGCTCCCAGCACAGCGTTCTCAACAGCCAGGGTGAGTCTTGCTCAACCCGTTTCTAACTGGCCAGGGCTGGTTCCGTTCTGGACATGAACATCTTTTTCTTATTCCCTTCATTATTGGCAGTGACATTGGGGAGATGGGTTTGGTTCTATGCCCTGATGTTTGAGTCCAAACCCCCTGCCCCAGATTCAAGAACTCAGGTCCTAGAGCCTCCCCCTCAGTCACCTGGAATCGGGTGGCTTTGTGTGTGTCTGTCTAAAGGATTCTGGGACTTGTGGGCATTTGGGACCCCCACCTCTTTGTCACTGGGTTGACACTCGGGTTTGATATGTGCTGCTGCCTAATGACTAATGATGTGTCCCTAAATGTTGTTACAAACGTTGCTTGTTTGGCTTTTTACCATTGAGAACTGAAATCACTAAAAAAAATAAATAAATAAAAATTGTGCCCTCAGG